ATTAATGAGAGAATATTAATGGGGTTAATTTAGAAAAAAATTGATAAACTCATAAAATATGTCTTACATATAGAACCAATATCAACTTCCTAATTAAATTTTGGGGAAGTACATACCCAAACGGTACTAGATTAATTTATGCCCCAAATGCAAGATATTTTCTTAAGATCAGCGTTTTGCTTTTGTTAATAAAAACAATTAATTAAGAGTGAGTTAATAGAAAATTTCACGTACATATCGGATTTCTTCGTCTTTTTTTTTAATTTCAAATGAAGACTATTAATACCTTACATCCAAATGCGGATCATACAGATACTTATACTCCTTCTAAAATTTTGATTTAATATGCATTATGAAAATATTCATTTTAATTTATTTTTTTATAAATATATTAATTGTTTAAACGACAACATAAGAGTACGTATAATATATTAATATTTTTCCATTCTTTGTTCTTTCCAATTGTCCTTAAAATTTCTTCCCCAATCTCATTTGAAATCTCCCTCCCCTACCCCAAGTGAGAGAGCTTCTCCCCACTTGGGCCCAACGTGGCTTGACTACGGATTAGTCAGTCTCGCGTGATTCTATAAAGTACATGCTCTCAGAAAAATAAAAAAACATTAATTACTACTAATTTATGGTCCATTTACTTATACAATAATTTCATTAATTACTGTTTTAAAACATGTACATACATTAATTGAGTTGCAATATGTATCAGCAGCAATTAAATCAATATAGTTAGGCAAGCAGCTATAAAGGAAGACCACACTCCTCATTTGCTCAATGTCTTGATTTCCATCTCCTTAATATCTACTTTGATTATAGATCATCAATTTGCAACTCGCAAGCTAACTTATCCGGAGAAGGACAGGAACCAGAGAGAAAGTGCTTGGAGGTAACTACTTGATACATAGTACCTTTGGTATAATTTGTTTTCTGTTTCTTTTCCTTTCTTTGGGTACTAACAATTTTTATCTAGGATTTAATTTGATCATATAATTCTAGAGAAATGGATCCGAGTTCTGCAAAAAAGAGAGATGGAGGTGGTTTAAAACCACCTCCTGCTGAAAAGAGGCCGGTTGAAACCGATGAAAGGTGCTGTTTAATTTCATAAATATATATATTATTTATTTATCTATTGTTTGAGGCAGCAAGATCCTCTTTCGCCGTGCAAGTAGAGTGAGACATGCTTAGATTTTCTACTACTGGTGAAACACCAAACACTATTACGTTGCTGTTTCAACAGCGAATTTGAATAACTGAGATTTGATTTGGATAATCAAGATTTTCTCCCCCTAAAATCCGAACCATCTAGAATTCCAGATAAAGCCCAGTTTTACTGTTGGAAGCCACAGTTTTTTTAGCAGAAGAGAAACCGAATCTGATACACACAGACTCAATAGTGGGCCTATATGGCTGGAGAGGATTCATATATTTATTATTTTGCATCTTCCCATGCACAGACATCAAGTAGTGGTTCTATAATTTCCAGGTATTCCTCTTCAGTTTCATATGGGAGTGTTAAAATATATAAACCGACAACTTCTATGTTTTAGGTTTCATTATATGAAATATTTACTATTTTGCCGTACTTTTATACACTCCCGGATGAAAGGAAAAGAACTCATATTGAGTGAAGCTTATTCCATTTAAGTGCACTCACTTTTTCTCACAGCTACATCTACTAATTAGGCAGATACACTTAGCTTGAAGATAAAAGATCTCAATAATGTTCTTGTTGTTGTTTATGCAGCCAGTGAGATTATATTACAGAGAACTAATATAACTGTTTCAAGGTTTCAATAATGCATTTGCAAATTCGACTCTGCTATATATATGTCTATGATCCATTGTATAATTTAAGTCTTGTTTTGATGGAGAAAAAGATACTTATGTCGTGGTAAAAATTTCCATAAAGCTGAGATCGATCTTCAGTTTTTGACTTTTTGTTATGAAAGGGGGGATAGGAGAGCGATGACACACGTACGTACACACTTACACGCACTAGTTAAAAAGGGAAGCTTATCAATGACAACCATTTTGGCCCAAAAAAAAATGACAACCATTGAATTTTTAATTTTGTATAGAAATGGCAAATTTCAAGTTCAATCATGGTGAACAAATAATCTTCATGACGAACCGGCGATTGTATCTGTCTATCTATCTATATATATTTATTTAAAATAATTGGTGGGTATTTCGTTGGTAGTTTGAGATTTACACACATTGCCAGCATATTTTATTTGAGATTATAATTCTTTAGAACATATATTTTAAATCAAGTGCAGACAACTATAACTTTTTTTCTTGTTTGGCTGCAGTCGTTTGCATAAACGAAAATATGCTCAGGCATACCGTTCGAAAAGGCAGAGTCAAATGCAGCAACTTGAAGATATGGTCAAAAATTTAGAGGTTATTAATTAACTCATAGTTTACGTTTAATATGTGTAATTAAAAATGATTTTGTCAATAATAACCAGAAGATATCATTCAAGTTATTAATTAGCACGTAAATTGGGATCGATATATATATGCAGGCTGAGATTGCCCAGAAGAATGAAAAGCTGAATCTCCAGGAGGCTGAAAATTCAACGATTCGAAGTGAAATTGCAGCATTGGAACAACAACGTGATGTCCAAGCAATTCTTGCCCGACCAACGGCAGGTTATATATGTAGTACATGAATAATTATGTCCCAGCATTGTAAAAAACTATGTTTCACCTTAAAATATGAACTGTGTCCACCAATACTTGTGTGTTCGTAACTGATATCAGAAGAAACAGAGAAGCTTACGGCCAAGGTGGAGAAGTACAAGAGGAAGATTGAGGCAAAGCAACGAGAGACTAAGAATGACCCAAACTACTTGAGGTTTAAGGAAGACAACAAAAACAGATACGGCGAAGCATTGGGACTTTTCTTTCCCGATTCCGACAAGCCTCCCCAGTGAATTGCTTGTTGGGAACTACTTCGTCTCGACTCATAACAAAAGTCTGTGTCCTTTGTGCTGTTGTCGGTCGGATTTTATGTCTGCTTTTTTGGAAGTTTTCTCAGTTGACTTGTATGTTTGTATTGAAGGATATGAGAACTCACAAAATTTAGTTCCTTCTGCATCTGTATGTCGTCGTTTCGTGATTTCAATAGCCGTATCTGATTGTGATCTATATATATATATATATATATATATATATATGTCTCTCTCTCCCTCTCTCTCTCACACACACACGCGCACACACAGAGACTGGGTTTGAAATTATAAGTACTGGTGTTTAAAATTTCCGACATTAACGAAAATAATGTAATAGAAGTACAGTAAAGCGTATATATACGGTGGGAGACTATTACCCTCCAAGAATTTGTAATTATAAATACTAGCGTCTAATAATGACTCCAGAATTGAATCCTGTTCTTAATTAGTATTGTCCCTCTAAATTTTTTTTAAAAAAAAGAAGTTTGAATTCATAAATGGTTTTAGGGAAAACGTGTGCAGCTTCAAAAATTAATGAAGCTCGGTCGATCCGTTTGGTGTGACAGGATGGTGATGGAAATGGAGCTAATATCTTTAATTTGTACAATGTGGAATTTCACAACAAGATCGACTACTTTTTGTTAGTTTTAAAAATAGAGGTACATTTGTCAGTTTTTGTTTTGTTTTCTATTTCATTATATATGTTATATTATGTAAGCTTAAAAAAAACTAAAGTTTCAAATTAAAAGTTATTTTGTAGATTGAAAGAGCCAGTGAATAAATTCGATCCTAACATTTATTTGTTTCTTATGCATCTTATGAATAAAAAAGCCAACGATCTTTTGAAACGACACGACGGACAAGGGATAAAAGATGCATGAACATTGAATTTCATCCTTATATTGCAATACTCCTTCTACAATCTGGCAAGTAATTTAGTGCTTTAAATCTCAATCCTTCAGCAAAATGGGAAATAATATTTACGTTCTTTTCTGATTAAATATTCTTCAGCATTTGTGTAAGTGATTCAGTGTTTCAAATCGCTTCAAATTTTCACTTCTGGCACCAAATATTTAGGTGCTTGCCGCCTCTTCCAGCATTTTGTGGCAATGCCATTAAATGGTTTAGCCTCTAATTATATTTCAACATTTGGTAATAAATAATATATAAATTTGAACATTTAATTTGCTCCTCATCATCAATGACTCAGCATTAATATTGGCCAGAAAATTGGCTGTTTTCAATTGTATCAATCTTCCAACATTTGGTAAGTAACTGAGTCTGGAATATCTGGCCATCCCTCCAGCATCGTCAGCATATGACAAGAGGATTTTCAAATGTTGTCATCGATTCATGTACAGGGATTATTTTTTCCAGTTAATCAATAAAAGGCTAAATTACATAAAATTTTCCTGAACTTAGAGCTATGTCCAAATAACATCCATAAAATTTTAAAATTTGATATAATATAACCTCCTAAACTCTTAAATCTATATAGACAAACCCAAACCATCAATTTTGTATCCATTGAACCTTACTTTTGCATGCATGTAATTTTCTCGTACCTATATAAATGCAGAAGTTCAGGGAGATTTATTATAAAATTTTAAATATAATGGAATTATTTATATATAATATAAAGTTAGGAGGAGTTTTATATAATATAATCTTTACAAAAATATGGTAAATACGTGTGAGAAAATTCCCCGATTATGTATGGTAAGATATTCTGTCTCTAAGCACGCCCCTGAGGCTTTGGGGCTTTGCATTTATTCCTACACACACACACACACACACACACACGTATGTATATATATACGTGCGTGTGGGTGTGTGTAAAGTAAACTACGCTAGTATTAGTTTCTCTGAGCAGAAACGCCTGTCATTTCTCTAGCAGTGTGTCAGAAGACAGTCCAAATTTTTCTGTGAGTTCTACGTTTCATTTGAAGTCAAACTAGGCGAAAACTTTACTCGATCTAAATCCACGTTCTCCTTGTGATCATTTTTGCAGGGGGAGGTATTTGAGAGAAGATGGCAAGCTTGAGAAAGATCGAACCTGCATCATCTGCCGCAGTGGAGGAACCATCCACTGAATTAACTCTGGGGATAGGCTCTTCGTTTCGATCAACGACGACTGATAGTGATCATCGTGGGAAGAAAATCTCCATGAATCCTGCCAAAGAACACCGCCAGGTTGACATGATTGTGCAGGACCTGACTCTCGACGATGATCTCCCGGACAAGAAGAAATCCACTGAACGTGGCGAGGGCTCAGGCACTCATCATGGTGAAGGCCAAGCGATTCCCTTGGCCTCAAGCCCTAGACGACTTCAACAAGAAGTCATGGAGCGCAGGAGGATCAACCGGTATGTGTCTCGGACTTGTATTTTGTACTATGAAAATTTTGTTTCAGTTCAAAATGGTTGTCGAAGGGTCAAGATTGTCGCTTTCCTGCGATGATTTTGTTAGAACCCAATCTTTCAAAGATTTGGGGCTTTTTAATTACTCATTTGTCTGCAGAATCATTTCATGCAGACTTTCTGCAATGAGATCCAGAGCGAGGAAGAATGAGTATGTGGCTGAGCTGGAGAGACAAGCGAAACATTTGGAGGTGAAAATTCCATCTCGAAAACTTACCATTCTTTTGTTAATGATTTTTCATTTTTTGGGTTTTACTCGTTGAATACATTCGTTTATGTCGCGCCCTGATTAACCCCGACAAAGATTCTGACCTAAAGCTAAGAGTACTTTGAGATTCCTGAATGCAGAATAAGATAGCCATTCTTCATCCACAAGTTGTGGCTTACGAACACCAGCGTCGCTTATTGCTGGTTGAGCATCACGAGGTGAAATATCGAATGGCTTTGCTTGAAAAAGAGAGGCTTCTCAAAGAAGGTAGCGCGCGACATCAATATCCTTCCTACATTCTCAAGGGTCGTTTGTGTTGTACAAGCAACGGAGTTTAATTTGTCTCTGCGTGTTTGTGCGTTTCAGTTGAAGCGGAGAAAATGCAAGAAGAAATATTGAGGCTGTTAGAATTTCAAAGGCATCAACAACAAATCCGAGCTGAAGCGATGCGTAGTTGGGGTGCTGACATGACGCTAATGTGCCCAAGCCCTGCGGGTGCCTCCGAACCAGTGATGGACTCAAGTTCGTCAGTAGAAGGTTAGAAACATTATGGTTTAGTTAGCTATATTAATCATGCTGAAACTGCTATATATTGATGAAAAAACTACAGTGAAAGACATAGGAAAGATTGGTTTCACTGTTCTTATCTCTAATGGTTTGAAAAGCCTCCCACTTGAAGGTTAGAAACAGCTCATTAAACATATCATATTATACAGGACCAACTATCTTTGATGCCCCTTCTCTAAATGCTTCCTCTAAATTCTTCTTCTTCTTCTTCGTCTTGCGTCTTTTTTAAACCAAATCCTACCCGACTCTTCTTTTATCTTAGAAATGTAATCATATTGGTTCACCAAGTTTCCGGTTCTTTTATTAACTATCTTGGGTCTTTTAAACATATCATCAAGTTCAATGCTTTCCTATATATTTCATACAGTTGTACTGTTGTTTACAATGCTTGTTCCTTATCCGTATGATGATTCCCATTTTCTAGTTCAAAGTTATGGTGTTTGGGATCTGGATACAGTTATGCTATTCACATACATCTTGGCACTGTTTTGTTAATTATGTTGTTTGGTTACAAGAAGCTAAAATTGTTGGACCATCAAACATGGAGGTTGATACAGCCAACAGTGACATAAACAAGGGCAAAGGGAAGGCGAGGGCTTAATTCTGTCGATATCAACGATGAAACGGTGGCTGAAGGATCTGGACTTGCTGTCTCCTTATACTTTTACCAGTTCATTGTGTGATGCTTTTAGCGGGTCTTATGTAAACTCACAACTAAACCTTGGTAATCTGAAATAAGTTGTGATCAGGTTCAGTACCTACGTCACAATATACTGTGTTTGTTATATGATGATATATAAATATTATCCGTCTTTTTAATTATATGATGCTTCTATCACGGGAGTTCGTTTTACACATAAAAAACTGTTATCTTAAGCCATTTGCACAAATCATTTTAGATCAGTTGATCAGATTAATTAACCCCTCAAGCGTACTTGCGATATATGGAGACACAAATAATAATACACATTCAGATACCCAATAACCTGACAGTATTTACAGAAATGCATGTTTTCATTATAATCAAAAAGAGGTCTTTACTTTCTTTAGTTCCTCATAAGTTCATTTTGTCATTTTTTCTGTCGAACTTTGAATTTTTGTGTATGTATATAAAATAAACTTAGGTTGACTTTGATTATATTTGGACCGCTCAAGGTGGCGTGGTGTTAAATTTTTGAGTTGTTTCTATTTAATGCTCCTCTTACGTGCATTCATATTTAATAAATACAAATGCATGCATTTATATTTCATAATTCTACAACAGACAAGACTCATTCGATAAATATTGAAGTCGCATACTTCATTATCCAACAATTAAAAGTAAATGCACATTATAGTCGGTGCCCCCCCCCCCAAAAAATTCATCCATACTATTATTTCCAGTATTTAATATAGGAACTTGTTTGATTTTTAATTTGACAATAAATATAATATTTCAATCTATTCTGTCTCTCATATTCATCTATTTTTTTAAGTAGTTCTTATAATAGTTGCACATATTAAAAATTTCATCAAATGATAGTTCTAATTAATACACATGATTAATAAACGTATTCTAGAAAAGACGACACATATTTAATATAAATAACTAATTTAACAAATTTTTTTAAACTAATCAAATTAGTTAACTAACTTTTATATTAAATACCGGAGATATATAATACTTTCTTCAACGCATACAAAAACCCCAATAGGAAACCACTTTCTCAATAATCTTTTATTGTGCAAGCGACTTGATGATTTTAAACAAATTGTCCGCGTCACGAGTGGCTGTCTAATCATCTAATCATGGTATCTTATTCCCCACTTCGACCTGCAACATGTTTTCTTAGCAATTAATTATTGTATTGTAAATTTTATCCTCAACAATGTCTTCTTTTTAATTTCTATTTGTTTCGAAATAACGAGGAAATAGTTGCATAAGAATAGTATCTAGAAAGGAATCTAAATGTCAGCCAAAAAATGCGCTCACGAAATCGAAGGTGCTCATTGCTGAATAGCCTATGATATTTTCATCATATATCATTATCAATGCCCATATAAATTATGAAATCCATAATAAAGCTCACTGCTAAGTAGCTTGTTTTAATCACTTCGAAATTCGAATGTTATGCGATCATAGAAATATGTCTCGTTATGAGGGTTGTTAAAAAGGCTGGGCGTGGCTGTGTCTAACTCTTATTGGCCCAGCCATCATGGGCTTGACCATGAGCTCATAATAAGCCTCAGATATTCTAAGTTGTGTTTTTCATGTATTAAAAAAAAATTTGTGTTTTTCTTTATTTTGTTTGAAATAGTGTCTTGAATAGAATTATCTTTAATACGAAGATACTTATGTTAAAAATAATTATTTACAGATTTTGTATAATATATGTATTATTATATTGAAAAAATTCGATTAAAAAAGGCTATGCGTGCAGGCTTCCAGACTTGAACTCAATCAATTGCCCCTTTCATGCAAATAGCTCATCACGATCTGTTATCCAAAACAATACTCTCCCGTTCTAAATATAAAACTCTTATACCAGTATATCTAAAGATTTTAAGGGTTTTATATTTAAGATCGGAGGAGTATTTTATTTTATTTTATCTATAAAAAGCTTATCCATAATTTAACCCCATTAACGTAATTTTTTTTAGTTGAATATTACTCAAATTCTTTTTGCCGAAAAAAAAATCCTCAAATTCTGTAGTCAAGCAACATTTTGCGTATCAGCAACAACTGAGCAAGAGGCGATATCCAAACTTAAGGATTTGGGCCATGGAATTGATGGTCTAACATCTTCGGCCCAATCTAATCCATTTCCGTAACGATTATCGTACTGGCGAGTCGCTGCTCATGGTAACAGTGGGTACTGTGTAGCCTCGGTTGGTACACGTATCCTCACGCTAAATGCTCCGTTCGGTCGTTAGCCTCAAGCGTTGTGACTTGTGAGTTTTTATTTTATTTTATTTAAATATGGTGGGAAAACAAACCGAATGTTACCCAGACCCAGTTTCAGTGTTCTTTTCTTTCTCTGCATTCTTCCTTCAGCGAAATTCAACTTTTTATTTCATCTGCCGGTTTAATCCTCTCTGATTTTCTCCAACCTTTGCACTGAAACAGCATCTTGGTGGATGCTGACAACTTGTGGCAAAATTGGGTGTTTTTGTTCGGCGACCATCTATTTTGAGACACAGGTTGACGAATGTGTTGGATGAGTTGAATTTATAGAAACTTGATAGAAGAGCAGTTTTATTTGCTCCTGAACCGAATTTATAGAAGGGAAGAGAAACGCGTGTGATTAAATGGCCTCTGCACATGGGTTAGCTCCATTGGCCGACTTGCGTTTGATGTTTTCTTCCTTGAGTTCACTACAGCGACATCGTTTTTGCTCTTCTGCTTCTTGTTGTACACTTCCCATCAAATTTTGTCATGGGGCTTCAATTAGTGTCTTTAACAAATACCAACATTCTGTGTTATTGGTTTCAAAACCCAATTCAAGTCGAGGGTTTAGGCTATATAAATCGGTGGAGTTGGACCATTTCTTGACTAGCGATGACGAAGACGAAATGGGTGAGGGTTTCTTCGAAGCAATAGAGGAGCTTGAGCGAATGGCGAGAGAACCCTCTGACATTATGGAAGAAATGAACGATCGTCTCTCCGCGAGGGAATTGCAGCTCGTACTGGTTTACTTCTCTCAAGAGGGAAGAGACTCCTGGTGTGCGTTGGAGGTGTTTGATTGGCTGCGAAAGGAAAATCGGGTGGATAAGGAGACGATGGAGCTTATGGTGGCGATCATGTGTGGTTGGGTGAAGAAGTTGATTCAAGAACAGCATCGTGTTGGTGACGTCGTCGACCTCCTTGTGGATATGGAATGTGTTGGTTTGAGGCCTGGTTTCAGCATGATTGAGAAGGTAATTTCTTTGTATTGGGAAATGGGTGAGAAGGAACGAGCAGTCTTGTTTGTGGAAGAGGTTTTGAGGCGAAGACTTTCTTATGCTGAGGAGGGCCCGGAGGGGCATAAAGGAGGGCCGACAGGGTATCTTGCTTGGAAGATGATGGTAAACATTTGCTAACCTTGCTTGCTAACTTGAATTCCCATATACATAAAGAAATTTAACGAGAGCTTATTTGAATCTGATGTTTGAGAACCTCGTAGTGGAATCACTTGGTATATAGGTTGTTTATCGCTCCCCCCTTTGCCTTAGATATGATGTTAATCGGAACTGTGAAATTCACCTTATTTGAATTGCATATTTAAGACTACTGGATATCTAAGATCTCTCTGTTTTGAGTGTAACTTATAACGTTATTGCTGGTCAGCTTGATCAATCTTTATCCTTGGCTTTTCTTTTTTCTCTTTTAGGGAGCCTTTGATCTATGTTCAGTTGTGCTTCTTAGAACTGCAGAAGTCAATATTCGTTCCTAGTATTTACCATATCATTGGATTTCTCAAATTTGTACTTTTGTGGTAAGAGTTGTGCGTGGCTAGCTGTTAATAGAGGTATTATCAGCATGGATCAAGTCAAGTATGGAGTTTATGCTTGTTTTTTTGTTAAGGAGGGGTGGGAACATCTGTGTCGGGGAATATCCTTTCTTATTTTTTATTGTACCTAGATCATTTGGCTGGGAAACACTAACTGGGGACCAATTTTTCACTCTAAATGTCATTTCTTAATCACTTCTTAGTTACCTGTTGCTTATCCTCTGTCAGAAGGGTCTGTGACTAGTTGGATCTTTTTGTCAGGTTGAGGGTGACTACAGAGGAGCAATCAGATTAGTGATTAATTTTAGAGAATCTGGGCTGAAGCCAGAGGCCTATAGTTATCTTATTGCAATGACTGCTGTGGTTAAGGAACTGAACGAATTCGCTAAAGCTCTTCGCAAGCTGAAGGGTTTTGTGAGGGCTGGGTCAATAGCTGAGCTAGATCTTGAAGATGTAGAGCTCATAGAGAAGTATCAATCAGATCTTCTAGCTGATGGGGTGTGCTTGTCCAATTGGGTCATGCAAGATGGGAGCCCATTACTTTATGGTGTGGTTCATGAGAGGCTCCTTGCTATGTATATCTGTGCTGGCCGTGGAATAGAGGCTGAGAGGCAGCTGTGGGAAATGAAGCTTGTGGGTAAGGAGCCTGATGGGGATCTCTATGACATTGTTCTTGCCATTTGTGCTTCACAAAAGGAAGCCAGAGCCACGGCAAGGCTGCTGACCCGATTAGAGGTTTCAAGCTCGCTACAGAAGAAGAAGAGCCTGTCATGGCTGTTAAGAGGCTATATCAAAGGAGGGCATTTTAAGGAGGCAGCGGAGACAGTCATGAAAATGCTCGAGTTAGGATTGTATCCAGAGTATTTGGACAGGGCAGCTGTGCTTCAAGGATTGAGGAAGAGAATCCAACAATTTGGAATTGTAGATACTTACCTCAAGCTTTGTAAGTCGCTCTCTGATGCAGATTTGATAGGACCTTGTCTTGTATATTTGTATATAAGGAAATATAAGCTTTGGGTTGTGAAAATGCTTTGAGAAGATGAGCTGATATCATCCCAATTTTCCGGTCATTTTCTTTCAGCTTAATTGTATACTATTACTGCAAGCACTGATTTCATCTGTGCTTGCTTCTGTGTTTATTTTGTATAGTTCCCGGTTCAAGTCTTGTATAATCTGCGAAACGGACTAGCTCTTGTGACAGGGTAATGGTGTGGTGTATACATATAGTCTCCTACTCAGGAGTGAGGCCTTCATGCAATGATATATCCTTTGGTAATACTATTCCCTCAAGTCAATACTATTCCGTTATGCTATTGAAGCAAGAACAAACCCGACAAGCAATATGGATTGATGAAGGGCATTAAACCACGTGTTTTTTCGCATGATCAAATAGAAAAATGATTTTTGTTTAGCCAAATGGACTGACATTGTCTCACCATTTACATTTCCTCAGGCGCAGTGCCAGGGTTCGAGAAGAATTGATGTATCCAGTGTGCTAAAATATGCATTTTGTTTTTCCTCGGAACGAAGACAATTTACAGCTCATCCTTTTACGTAGGATGAGGTAAGGGAAGAACATATAACCGTGAGATTCCATTAAATACAAGGACAAGGCCTTTTAGCTGTTATTTGGTGTTATTCTCTGGGGTTCTGTAGGGCCATATCCTTTATTATTAGCTGCTAATCATGACCGGTTAGGTGAGTCTTCTGCGTTGTCGGTCCAAGATGCTGCAAAAGATGTAAATAAAGAAAACCTAATAAATTATCAGACATGTGAGAAATGAGGCCAATGTTCAAAAAGATATTTATCAAATATCTGATGAAGGAGCGAATAGGAATAGGAATAGGAAGGGTATGTACGAAACGAGTTTCCCTCACCTGAGGCGACAAGTTCCTTTCTAGGGAAAAGAAAAAAAAAATCGTAGATTAAGCATTTTTTTGACCGGCATCATAGATTAAGCATTAAAAGTTTAGAATCCAAAGCATTATATTTAAACGCGTTATTATGGTCTATGGATTTATACAAGTCCAAAGGAGATTATATATTAGATCCAAAGAAACAATCAATCAATCTCCATGTAAAATATAAAATCTATGACAAGTTGTACAGTTTACAATTTGTTATCAATACGACTCATTTCACAAATTTCATGCGATGCCCATGACCCCATCTAGTTGGATACAGACATAATATAATTAGGTCATTTTTTTGGGGTCAAATTCCCTTAAAATATTAAAGAGCACTCCCTATTCCTAAGTGCTACTACTGTTAGCTTTAATAGAAGAATCAATTTCATGTACATACAAATGAAAAGAAGAAATAGAAAATGACTTGAAACACCATTAACATCCCAGTCTTTTCTTCTTGTTCATGGATTAAATTCTCAGGCAGAATCCGTGGACATAATTTCGAGTTCTGCCCACCAAAGAGGGGAAGATTTTGGAGTTGCTCCATCAGGTCCCATGCCAGTTATTTCCTTCAACTTAGCTGCAACCTCTCTCATAGTAGGCCTTTTCTCTGGTTCTGAATGCAAGCACTCTTTTATCAATTCCCACCATTTCTCAACCTCTTCTGCTTGCACAGAGTTCAGAGTTGGATCCACCAAATCTCTCAGGGATTGCCCCATTGTTAAGTACTGTGACAGAAAGCCAATCTCCACAGGATAGGGAGTTCGCCCTGTGATCAACTCAAACAGTATAACGCCAAAGCTATAAACATTTTCCTTGGGGTATGTTGACGGTGTTTCCGATGGCTCTGTGGCTGCAGAACTTTTCTTTGTAGCAGCAGCCATGTCATTCCAGAAACAAAGGTCTGATACTTGAGCAGCATTGTCTTCAGTGAGATATATAGATGAAGACTGAAGGTTTCTGAGGGAAATGGGTGGTTCCAGCTGATGCATATGTTCTAGGCAATAAGCTATTCCCATAGCAATCCTCATTCTCATTCCCCAGTCTAGCTGCTCTGCTTCTCTTACTGCACGTCATACAAGATATCATAACATTTAAAGATCTTACTTTGACATGACACCGAAAAAATTGGTGAAGGATGAAATTAATTATCTGCAATAAAGGTTATCAAAACTGTCACCCACTCATCCTTGCTCTTAGATACACTCAAAATTATTATCCTAGGTCACTTGGTATTTTGGATGGCGTGAGATGTCTGGAATAAAATTGCTGGATAGGCCCACCATCTAAAGACTTCAAATGATGTTGTACTAAATTCCTCCAAAATGAGTAGACACAGAAACTAGTAAATATTTAAAGTACAATTGAAGTGATGACTTGGAATGGCACTCACTATGTAGATGTTCAAAGAGAGTTCCATTTGGAGCATACTCAAAGACCATCATTCTTGTGAATGGTTTCTTCTCTTCACAGTACCCGATAAGATTCACAAAGTTCTTGTGGTTCACACGGGATAAGGTCTCTATCTGGAACCAGGGGTACAAGGTTAAAAAAATATGGAATTAAATGATAAAGTCAGTTTCATTTACTGTGTCCAAGGCCCCCGTTACCTTTCTTCTAAATTGAGCTTCCATAGTTTTAGGCCAGTATTTAGATGAGGTCACTGCAGTAGATACTACAGCAATCTCAACACCACTGGAAAGAGTCCCTTTGTAAACAGTGCCCTCTGGAATAGAACCGATGATGTTGCTGAAATCTTCACAAGCTGCTTGAACCTCTGCTCGTCTGAGATTTGGCACACCTGAATCACTCATTCTCAGTACAAGTATTTGGGGAAAAGGAAGGGAGTGATGAAGATCCGTGAAATTAACTTATTATGGTTTTTTTTTTTTTAATGTGTAATACTATGAGATTGAATGACCGATGACTGACTGAAGTTATTGATGAAGAGAATAAAGCAATACTGACAAAAGCCCGTAGAAGAGCTCCTCACCAACCAAATTCAAATTTTCATTGGGAGCATTTTAGGTAAAATTCTAAATGCGCTGAACGAATACAGTTGAGTGCACCCTTAAGATTGTCCAAAGACACCTCTAAGCGTGACACTAAAACACAAAACGATAAGAGAGTAGATATTACCTGTGATGAAAGCCTTCTGCAGCTGCCCACTTAACCCTGTGGACCAAGGTTTCACAGTTACGACCCTGCTAGTTCGGAAGCAAGTAAAAACAATCGCTGACACGACAACCAGCAAGGATACGCCCCCAGCTGTTGACCAAATGATCAGAGATTTCTGGGGCTTGAAACTTTTTGTGCTCCCTTGGTTCCAAAATGAAGCAGGGGAAGGCTCTGAAATCCAATTGGACTGTGAAGGAGAGGATACAACAGTAGGTGGATTTGCTGGTAGTGATATTCCTGGGGTTGGTGTCACCATTGGTGAAATTGAAGGAGTGAGAAAAATAGAGGACGGAGAAGGTGAAGGGGAAACTTCAGGGGACCTTAAAGGTGGGAGAATATATGGTGATGGGGTTAATGCAGATGGTGGATTTGAGGGTGATTCTGATGGCGAGAAAGGCTCATAATCTGGTGGTAATGAAGAGGGGAAAGGTGAGGATGATGGTGAAATCGACTCTTTGTTATCATCTCTTAGTCTCCTTGCTTTTGATCTATGAAGAAGTTTCCTCTTGTAATGCAAATCCCCATGGTGGTCTATGGGCCTGAGACAATTTCACACAGCAAGCAAATATCAGTCAACATGATCTGACCGAGCTCATAATTCGTTGGTTTTGTTTGTATTTGCCATATCATTGAAAATGATCATAAATTTCTTTCATTTTAAATCAAATGGCAACAAAATGAATATGATCCATGAGACATTTAGTATTATATACCTTGAATCTGATATTACATACTATTTTAGGTGCTATCTAATCATTTACTTCCATAAACCCCCAATTTCGTACCAGATATGGCGCTATAAATATCGTGGGATAGAATGCCCTAATGTGTATGAAACCCTGTATCATGGGACACCAACTGAATAGCAAACTAATCCTAGCAGAACATATAAGCTGACTGACTGAAGAAAAACTATCCGTCTTCTTTGTTACACCGTCAGAGAGCTTGAGGTAGAGATTGTAATAAATCTGATTATGCACATCTGGGCAACATAAGCTTCAGTTGATTTTGACAATATGATTATTCGCACATCAAAAACTAGATATACATGTGGCTTTAGAGGTGGAACCAGTTATCTAATCTTTATCCTCATGATATTCAGAATCCATACTGAGCTGATACGCTTTTGGGGCTGTGTTGGTAAGGTACTTATTATTGTTCAGCATACTGCAGTATACGCATATATTGGAAAAAATCAAAGGAGAAAAACTTAGAAAGGAAAATAAAAACAAAATATTTGTCAACTTACAGGGTAGTGAGGGATGGATTGCTGCCCGGGTCAGATGGAAACGATCCTTTAAAGTTGTTATGTGCCAAGTCAAGGACTTCCAGCTCCTCCAGTTGTGATATCTCTTTAGGAATCTCTCCAAAAAGAGAATTGTTGCGCAAAATGCTGCCAGATAGAGAAAGTGGTTGAACAATTTTCATATACTGCTTATAATCAACAACGGCACATACATATTGTCTTACATAGATTTTATGTGAGTCAGCTTCCCAATTTCAGGGGCTAGTGTTCCTTCAAGACAAAGGTCCTTCAAATTCCTGCAAGTTGAACAACTCTTTGATTCAGGCGTATCCTGAACATGAAACTGCTATTTTTTGTACCATCTTAACCAGAGATTCTGCATGGAAAGAAGAGGAAGAAGGAAGCTTGACTCACAAGGAAACAACTTTGCCGTGAACGGAGCATTCTACTCCAAACCATGAACAGGGATCGGTATGTACGCCTTCGCCATTCCAATTGGACAAAGCTCCAAATGGGTCTCTTACCACTCTGTTCTTCAACTTTAACAGAGCCAAACCTGCATTAGAATATCAATTGAAACACATTAATCAAACCAAATCATAGTGAAGCCTTCCACTGGAATTACAAAGCTCGCAAATACAAGAAGTGAAAACCATCATCATGCATCATGCCTTCATTGTTGAGAGGTGAAGAAGAAACGCTAAAACTCGAAGCAAACAAACTTAGCATCACCATCAACACCACCAACCCTTTTTCTTCCATCGAGTCACCACAGACAGAATGTGTGAGCGAGTTAGTGTGTTCGAAATCTACAAACTCCGACGTTTCTGACTATAGTCAGTGCCACTCATATTCTTAGCACTCTGTTTATATAACTTCCTCGTCCTTATATACCAAACTGGCCTTCTTCATAACTAGATTGAGTATATAACGTTGCTATATATGCACTTTAACCCTTTTAAGGGCAGTTGTTGTATTATTCAGTATATTTAGGCGTACGTAGATTAAGTAACATGAATAAATTCATAGCATTTCAATATATTCTAATTAAGATATATGAGATAGAATAGTTCTCTCTTATTCCATCAAAAAAGAATAATTGTCTTATAGAAGCGTATTGTTGGTGTTGTTTCATCATGATGACGTATAAATACATCACTTGCACATATAGATGCCAATCCCATAATCTTAAATCAGAATATACGAAGATTGTTAGTTATTTCTTGCTTTTCTTTTCCGTTGCCCTTCATAGATGTGTAAACTTGACTTCTACGTCAATTCTCTCAGCAGATAGGAGATATCTGAAGAGGGCCACAGAATAATATTATATATAAAAGTTCTATATATGGACCTAATTGAACCTTAAATATTATGTGCGCATATATAATTGCCCTTTTCTTAGTACTATATTGCCTGCATCGCTACATTATATTCAAATTGTGAACCCCTGTTGGTGGAGTAGATTTGACTTCATACTGGAATAGTGGAATGTGAATGAGTACTACAATGGCATGGGGACCAAATTTGGAAAAATCTTGAAGATGTTCTCGATGGCACAATGATGGAAGCATATGGGGACAAAAATTAATAATGGAGTGAAAGACAAGTACTAATAAACAATAGTTCATAGTTGAGTTGGGTGCAGCAGTTTCATATGTTCAAATGAGAAAGATGAGGGACAAGGAGAGCCAATCTTCTTTGAATATGACCCCATAGAAAATATAAGGTAGATGTAAATTAATTAAATTAATTAACCTTTCTTCTTTTTTTAATATTATATATATGATCCCATATAAACTACAATGACATCATAATGGCATAGAAATGGATGCTGTACTTAAAGAAAGCTGCTCCTGAATATGTTTCTTATATATATGGGAAGTGATGGAAATTATCGAAGTCCCCTGCATATTCAGTTAAAGTCTTCAGGTGCCAAAATTTTAATTTGGTCCTTCAAATATATATATATATATATATATAGATATATAGACACACACACACACACTATCTCACATATTAAGTAATGAGTTGGCTTTATTTAAAATTAATATATATGTATGATATATTAGGTATTGTTAACTTAGTTGTAGATTTATGCCGATGACCTAATTAATGTGGACCTACCATTAATGAATTGATCAGCAAATAGACAAGTTAACCTCCCGGTGTTTAGCAGAAAACTACGTACGACCCATACCAACTTGGTGAATGTGACACTGATTTATCCCCCACAACCCCACATAATTAATGATCTCCGTGTCTTTAAATGGCTGATCTAATTGCTTTTTTTGAACTTTAATTATTATAAAAGAAATCATGAGAGTCCAATACCATTTCAAAGCCAAAACTGCATCCTGATGAAATCTTTAAGCCACGAGATGCTCAGAAGCAAAGAATTGGTCGCTCAAAAATGGGTCAACCTTTCACTAGAGTGCCAAGGAATCTCAGCTTTATACCGCGTTGGCAATTGGAATGATCATTGAAGCTTATCTGGTGTCAAAGTGTACCAGTGTTTAACAGGGGCAAATGTGGAAAAAAAACTAATTGTATGTTGTTACAAATTTAATTAGTTTAACTATCTTAATATGTGTGAAATAGATTGCGGTTTTTATATTTGAGATCAAATTTTAATGATTTTTACCTTCAGATCGAAACTGAACTCTTTTTTTTTTTTTGGCCAACACGAAACTCGACTCTATTCTTGTGCTTTTATCAGCAGAAATTTTACGTTATATGTTAAATATCAAACTAAAAATAAAAAGTGTCATGCTCCTTATTAAAACAACTAGCAGGTAACTCAAATTAAATATTAAACATGCGTGCTAGTTGCATCAAATGTACCTGCGGTAAATTAATCTCCCTCCGTGGGGCTTGGGCAGAATTTTTGTTTAGATTATGCCATTTAATATCCGCATGTAATTTGTTTCGTTGTACTCAAAATTACAACATGAGTCATTTATATTTAAATGTTTATAATCATTTTAAGGTTCGAGGCAAATATCCCAGGAGGGAGGAAAAAAACATAACATCCAGGCTGCAGATATATATAATATGCGATCTGAGTTTTCTTCAGAATTTTTGTATTTTCGGAATTGTTTGGCAACGAAAGATAAACAAAAAGCAAAATAACAAGTCGGAAAAGTTGGGCAAGCAGAGCAAGCCATAAATGAAAAAGGATCTACGTTTAATTCATCTCACAACCCTCCCATCAAAATCCAGGCAGACACTTAGATCCTATTTGGTACAAAATATTAAAAATGAGGGATAATGATTAAGATTGTAATTGAAAAAAAAGCTATTAAAAAAATCATCACCATGAGTAATTGCTTATTTCCCAATCTCACATATATAAGTTTCTTTAATCCAATGTTATAGGTAATTTCTCGTGCTAAATATAATTTTCTCAATATCAATCCCAATTCCAATCCCTATCTCTCCTTTCTAATGGTTTGTACCAAACGGTACCTTACGTTATTGCATCAGAATATAATGCCCAAAATATTTATACAGAAACACGATGGCTTTCTGCACGAATAATAAAAGGCACAGATAAAAATATTAATATAAAACATTTTGCGTCTATGCCAACAAGATATTGTACATAGTATTACTTCTAGTCTTTAATATAAGATCTTGTTTAAGTTTTATTTTAGCCTTAAATATAGAACCCTAATCCATTTTATCTTTCATATTTATACTTTTTTTTTTCTAAAGTAATCCTTCTAATAATAATAGTTCTGACTAATACACTTGATTAGTAAAGATATTTTAGAAAAGATAATACTAATTTATGATAAATAACTAATTTAATTTATTTTAATTAGTTTTTATATCTAAGACAGGAGCTAGTATATTATTACAACTAAGTTAAACTTGTCCGCCTGTCGGGTCTTATTATGTCATACGGCTCTTAATAAGCATTTAACTTAATCGTACAAAAAATTTGTAGTACTAGCTATTTGCCGACATAAATCTACAAATGGCCAATTATGTCCAGAAGAGACGTGTAAGTACCAACAACAGTAATCGCAACCCCCATCGTTATTATCGAATAACTGATAATCACATCAGAACCAAATCTGCTGTAATTTCCAGAAATAATCTTCAGGCAGCACGCTGATGGAACAAGTATTGAAGACGAGACGCAAAGTAATGAACCCGCAAGTGGCCATGAGGTATCCGTACAGAGGAATAGAAACTGCTACGATGAGATTACTGATAAGCATGGAGGTCCTCACCCCCAGATGGGTCAGTCTTCTGTTGTAATAAGAAGGGACCATACTTTTTGCTGCGTTTATTAATGGGGTAAGCATTAAGGCGTGTTTGGCTATGGGATTGATCAAGGTGGTGTATGTTGCTAGTGTTGAGCTGAGTTTGCCTGCGGGAAGGTCTAGGGTTATCTGGGATATTGGACGTCTTCTCCAAACGTTAGGTATCCCAATGCTGCTGTGGCTGCGTAACCAAGAGTGCATAATGAAAAGGATGCAAGCCAAACCTGACAATTCATTAATTAGATTGATGAATTCAGAAAAGAATTCGATCCATTGATGAATACCATGCATTTATGTGGAGTCACGAAAAGGATATTGCCTAACTTGCTTTCTGAAAAAAAGACCAAGTTTTTCAGGCTCATTTGGCCAAATGTTAGGCCTATGCTTGCTTAGACAAAATCATCAAGACATCAAATCCATGAATAATCCCATTATTCATAAGAAATGAATATCACAACATTTTCAGGCTGTGAAACCTTTTGAACTTGATATTTTTCCACACATTTTATTGAATTTCTTGCATTTTTTTTCTTTTAATGTTTTTCCTCGTTTTCCAAATAGTAGCAAGATATCTATAACTTAAAAAGAAATATTAGAGTTATTATTTGTTACTCCTCTGGTTGTTAATATAAAACCTTTGCAGTGTAATTTGCATATAAAACAGGTCTTATATTAAGAGCCGGAGAAGTAGTATGGGCCATGCATAGAAAAAGGATCAACACATTCACTTTCAATATTTTTACCGACAGCACAACCAACTTGTCAGTATCAGAGGGCTAATTAAGTCCTAGTTCTCATAGAGTTACCATCAGATAAGTCCGACAATTATATTGATGAAAGTTGGATAAGCTTATGAGTCCAAAGGCCTTCATCTATCTTAGTTGTTTTAGGCGAGAGTAAGCCGATATCTATCTCTACAAAATAAAACATTGGCAAAATTTTCTATGAATGAGCTTTCTTTTGGCCTGATTCCTTTAAATGCACTGATCACTATTAATTCTTCAGGCAGAAAAACTTTACCCTGTCATGTTCTTAGTTGCCATCAGCTATGGGCACAACGAATGGAATGGGTGGACATGAGGATATGCTTACACTGGAAAAATGGCTTCTGTTTCTCATGGAAGTATAAAGAGTGGGCAACACCGGATGAACACCGTAACATAAGGCATAAAGACCCACAGCATTAGGAATTCCACTCCATCTTAACACAGTTCCTTTGCCTTGAAACCCACTTCCATCAATAGTAGCATTCCAAAAGAGAGACAAGATGAAGACTGCAGAAGCCAAGGCCCCAGTAGCAGACACATAAGAGGGCACGCTCAAGTCTTGCAACCACACAGTAGGCAGAACAATAATTGCAGCCAAAATGGGACAAAGCGGGGCCCCTCCAATTGCGAACCCTCCAATATCAATTTGAACTTTTGGTATAAGCTTGTATATATGGTCACCTTCTAGAATGAGGTAGCCTGTGACGACTAGGTAGAGCTCAGAGTTCATGGCTATGGACTCCATAAGCCTTCCTTTCTGTCCGAATGCGCGTTGGCCTATGTCAGAGACGGTCCTAATGTTAGGGTCCATGTCCATGCATCTTTGGACCGGCATGCCTGTGCAGGAACAAGCTGCAGAGATGACCAAAAGCAGCAATAAGCTCAACCATCCTCCCGATGCCAATGCGTAGGGTATGGACACCATGCCAATTCCTTAAAACACAGCAACATGAAAGTTTTGGACTATGCAGTTTCTAGATACAGATTTTCAGCTCAATACGCCACTATTAATCGGAACAAGGTATTATATCCCCAATGTGCAAACTATTTGCTCAAGAATGAGCGTTTGTAAAAAGAAAATTGCATGAGAAAGGAAAAGATGGTGATAAAAACGAATAGTAAAATAAAGAAAAATTCAAGACAGATGGGGTGGAGTTATGTAGTAGATAATAAGAAAACCTGAGATGGCATTAATGTCACGGAAGCAAGTCATGAAGAAGGAGGAGTTGCCCGGAGGAACGGCGTCGTGCTGTGCATCAGCTTTTGAGCCATTAAGCAGAGGCTGAGACTCTTCATCGAAGGGAAGGGATATAAGGAGCAAGCCATTACTACTTCCTTGAGCTGCCATATGTATATGGAACAACACAGCCCAAGAAATTAATTAACAACGTACGAGGTGTAATGTGTTATGAGTGAATAGGTTTCTAGCTCTATATATAACATGACAAGGGATCGCGGAAATGTTTTTTTCCCCCTTATTTTTCAAATTATTTTATTATGGTTACTTTATACGAACTACAATCTCCTCCTAATCCTTAATATAAGAATTAGTTAAGATTAATTTTAATCCGAGATATAATACCATAATTTACTCTGTCCCCCGTCTTTTTTTAAAATATTCCTATTAATTGCAAGAAGTTTTCACCAAAAAATAATTCTAATTATCTAAATACACATGATTAAAGATGACCGTTTTAAAGAAACCAACACACATTTGTGACAAATAACTAATTTAACCAATATTTTTAACATTTTCAAATTAATTATCTAACTTGTATTAAGGATTAGTAATAGTAATAGTGTGTATATTGACCTTTTTTTTTTTTTATGTTTATGAAAGAAAAGAACTGGGTTGCAGCACCAGCGAGCAACAATCACGTGGGAATTGTGCGTTGAGAACAAGACAAAGAGGCTGCTGAGACATGGGGGAGCGATGCGAGGGCTTAAATTCTCTCCGCCTCAATCTAAAGCAATGGTTCTAATTAATGCACGCCAACAAAACCTCTCTCTTCTCTCTTGTCTAGCTACTCTCTGAGCCTTTTCCATTCCAAGACCAAGTAGCCCAATTCTTCATAAAGTTGAATCAGGATGGCATCCAATTTTTCAGCCGATGGAAATTAATGGTGGGTTAAATGGTGGTGGCATCTTAATTAGTCTTATTCCATTATTTTAAAATTATATTTAGCACTCAATGAACCTGGCTTTCCTTTTGGCGTACATATATTATAAAACATATTTTGGTTTGACGTTCAGGCTGTATTTGGTGTTATTTGCGCTTTATATATTATCTACACCTAGCGGTCCTGAGCATTACATGAGACTGAGTGGTCCCTCTCAATTTTATTTTTCAATGGAAATTAGACATTTCCAGTGTTTCATATTATATTAAACTTTTGTTCTCCTAATTTTGAGAAACAGAGGATATACTCTCAAGTCTTGATCCATTCCCCGCAGAAAAAAGTGAATATTTAAAAGCGTGGGACCACTTTCTTTTTGTGTGTGTGTATATGTATGTATATATGTATATGTATATATTAGTTCTATATGCCTGATTGTTGAGAACTTTGTCTGGTCCACATCTAATAATTATCCTCTCAAATCATATATGCTGTTTTAGAGAAATAATACTATTATTTGTGCTTAATATAAGAGTTAGTTAACTAATTTAAGTAAATTTAAAAAATTAATTAAATTAGTTATTTGTAATAAATAAATATTATTTTTTAAAATACTCTTATTTATCATGTGTATTAGCTAGAATTACTATTTGATGAAATATTTAACACATGCAACTACTGCAAAGACTATCATGAAAAAATAAATAAATGTAAGAGATAAAGTGAATTAGGATCTTATATTTAAGACTAAATAAATGTCCAAATAGCTCTTATATTAAAAACCGGAGGTAGTGTTAAGTTTCTAGTTTGTCGTGAAATTAAAACGTGAACTTTGTGGAAAATAATGTCAATTGCTGAAAAAATCATTTTAAGATCTGGTTTACGGAAAATCTTCGCAAGTTTTGTGAGGATCCGTGTTAAACAGTCATGATTTATGCGTTAAGACAAACGTCTCTTGTTTTAGATTTAGAAAGTAATTTTTTTCCCAAAAAAAAGACTTACTTGAATGAGTTTTTGTAAAAAAGAAACAACGTTATGTTTTTCCCCGTAAAAAGAAAGAACAAATGAAGGCAAGCAGGAGACCATTTCATATTAAAGTTTTGGGACTACTGGTTTTTCCAAGAGTAATTCAAGACGAAATAGAAGCTGGTCAGAGTATATTTTACTTTTAAATAAACAAGAAATAACATATAATTAACTTTCAAAAAATAATAACAAAATAAAAATGCAACAATTTAAAGATAAGAATAGAATATCTCCCAGCCACATTTTGGTAACGAAACAAAGACAAAAAAAGAAAAAACAAAGAAAATGATATGTCAAAAGCATTCCAGACAACCAGGTGAAGCCAGATATAAGAGATTCCCATATCAGAAAAGGAGAGGAATGAAAGGACCTATACATTCATCACACCCTCCCACATGCGTGCCACAGAGCAACGAAATTCCAATACATTGGAATCATTAATTATTTGCCAAACACCTTAATTACATATATAATTCATACAGCTACATTAACTGACTTTAATTATACACAAATATATATTAATCTCTATGTACTGAGAGAAGATACTCTAATAACTGGTCTACGAAAAGGCACGTCTATATAAATATTCACATGAACACAAAACATAACGTCTACGTCGACAAAGCATAGCTTATAGGTATATTTAACTTCCTATGACGCAAAACCGCGCCAGGTCTTTGATTAAGTCATACGCCTTTGTCTTTCTTAATACACACATTCACCTTAATCGTGCAAATTAATCAAATACTGTTCGCTGACATAATTCTACAAGTGGCCTATTATGTCCAGAAGAGACGTGTAAGTACCAACAACAGCAATCGCAACCCCCATCACTATTATCGAATAACTGATGATCATATCACAACCAAATCTCCTGTAAGCTCCAGAAATCTTCAAGTAGCAAACTGACGGGACCAGTATTGAAGTGGAGACGCAAAGTAATGCTCCTGCAAGTGCCATGAGGTATCCATAGAGGGGAATAGAGACTGCTACGATGAGATTACTGATGAGCATGGAGGTGCTCACTACCAGATGGGTCAGTCTCTTGTTGTAATGTGAAGGGACCATACCTTTTGCTGCGTTTATTGTTGGGGTGAGCATTAAGGCGTATTTGGCTATAGGATTGACCAGGGTGGTGTATATGGCTACTCTTGAGCTGAGTTTGCCTGCGGGAAGGTCTAGGGTTATCTGGGATTGGACGTCTTGTCCAAACATGAGGTATCCCAATACGGCTGCCGCTGCGTAACCAACAGTGCATAATGAAAAGCATACAAGCAAAACCTGCCAATTCATCATTACTTTGGTATGAACGATACATTCTCGAGTCAGGAAAAGAATTGCTACCTGACTTGCTTTATGGAAAGTCATAAATTAAAGTTCGTTGGTGCATGAAGCTCATTTGCCCAAATGTTCGGCTGTCCCTACTTTTTTTTTTTTTTAACTACTTGGACAAGATCTCAATCATGACACAGATCTGAGTTCTTGTTCAGATAAATCCAGCGGATAATGATAAAGTCGGATAAGCTTGCTTGTCCAGACGTGAGGGCGTGAGGCCTCTATCTATCTGAATAAGATTAAACTTTACTAAGTTTCTATAAATGCAACTTTCTTTAACTTTTCGCCTGAATAATAAAAGTACTTTACCAAGTTTCCATGCATTGAATGCACCTTCCTTTAATTTTTGGCCTGATTATTTAATTCAGATGCACTTGCTATTAGCTCTTCAGCCAAAAAACCGTGTCATGCATCCGCCAAAAGCCATAGACAAAACGGAATAGGTGAACATGTTAGTAGAAGGATACTCACAGTGGAAAAGTGGCTTCTGTTTCTCATGGAAGTATAAAGAGTGGGCAACACCGGATGAGCACTGTAGCAGAAGGCATATAAACCCACAGCATTAGGAATCCCACCCCATCTCCACACAGTTCCTTTGCCATGAAACCCAGTTCCATCAAGAGCAGCATTCCACCAGAGAGACAAGAGGAAGACTGTAGAAGCCAAGGCCCCAGTTGCGGACACATAAGAGAGCAGGCTCAAGTCTTGCAGCCACACAGTAGGCAGAATAATAAGTGCAGCGACAATGGCAGAAAGTGTGGGTCCTCCAATCGTGAACCCTCCTATGTCAATCTCAAGGTTTGGTATCAGCTTGTTGATGTTGTCGCCTTCTAGAATGAGGTAGCCCGCGACAACCAGGTAGAGCTCAGAGTTCATGGCTATGGAGACCATGAGCCTTCCTTTGTGTCCGAATGCGCGCTGGCCTATGTCGGGGAAGGTCCTAATGTCAGGGTCCATGTCCATGCATCTTTGGACCATGATGCCGGTGTAGTAACAAGCTATGGCGATGAGAAATAGCAGCGATAAGCTCAACCATCCTCCCGACGCCACTGCGTAGGGTATGGACACTATGCCAATTCCTGAAAACGAAATTTCGGATCACATACTTTCAGTTACAAATCTTCAGCTCGATACATGACTATTAATTAAGGACATGTTAATGAATCATTTAATGCAGTCAGAAGATTGGTTCCAGCAGGGTTAGACAGAAGGTCGCGGGAAACAAGATCTAGAATCGCCAAAACGCAAAAACCCTTTACATGCTCAGTAATAGGAATTGTGAGAGTTTGGAAGAATTAAGAAAAATTAGAGAAAACAAAAAGAAGATGGTGAAAACGAATCCTATAAAAGAGGAATGGAAGAGAGACAATGTGAAGGAAGTGGAAAAAGTGAGTAAGGAACCTGAGATTGCGTTGATGCCATGGAAGCAGGTCTTGAAGAAGGAGGAGGTGGGGGATGGAACAGCGCCGTGCGGATCAGCTTTGGAGGCATTGGGCAGAGGAAGGGGCTCTTCATCAAAGAGAAGGGGTATAGTGACGAAGCTATCGCTGCCGTGAGCGCCCATGGACAGAAATCAAACAAGAAGGAGGCGTACCGTGTCTGTGTGAGCCAGATCAGTGTGTTGCTCTGTATTAATACAAGCCAGGTGGCCGGGTTCAGAAGAGTTCGGCGATGCGGTCCATTTTTCCTTTTAGCTATCATGTTATAGTGAGTTATTGACCACGTATTTGATGTATGTCTGGGAGTGCGAGCTTTTAACAAGTATAGATCACGTGGGAATTGATTGCTGAGGATAAGACAGGTGGGGGCATTCAAATGGCGCCGCGACGCGGGGGTCCGTTTCTCAGAGCTAAGCCCCACTTTCTTGTATCTAGGCACCCGTGTTTTTAAAGCCCTGCTTCATAACTTCAATCCCTTGTTACAATAAAGAATAAACAAATACAGTACCAAAATCACACTATACAAAATATCTTCTTTAATTTTTATTTTTATTTTAAATATAAAATATTAATCTATTTTAATTTTTATATTTATTTTTTTAAAATAGTCTTTATAATAATAATAATAATAATGTCGGTTAATATATTTAATTAGTAAGGATATTTTTTTTTAAATATTTATTTGCTATAAATAACTTATTTAATTAATTTCTTTAATATACTCAAATTAGATAACTAATTCACATATTAATAGGCGAAGGTAATATTTAATTGGAGCAAAAGTATAAAAATAGGTTTAAAATCTCAAGCAAAATTTTTTATATTGAAAAATATTACTATAAAAAAACTATTTTTTATAAAGTAAAAACTAAAATATACATGTGCGCATAAAAGACTCATCCTTCCGATAAAATAATTGTCAATGTATCAATTTGAGCTGGGTTCAGTAGGAGATGGTGTTTTCTTTTCAAGTGTAATCCTTTTAAAAGCAAACATTAAATATGGATACTTCTTAACGGAATTAAGGCGGGGGGGATTTTTTTTGGAGAAAAAAAACAAAAAAATAACACTTGAATTTCCTAATCTCCAAATAGTCTGCTGAATTTAAAAAGCTCAATTGGGTCTCAATTGGGATTATCATGTTAAAGGAAAAGACTAAATTACCTTTCATTTTATTTATTGTTTTTAAAATACTAAAGCCTACACTAGCTGGCTGGCCAATCACCAGAGCTCCAGCGGCGACAGTCACCGAAGCTTCGATGATCGGCCGACAATTGGTCATCGAAGCTCTGGCGGTTGGAAATAATTTTTTTGAAAATTTTTATAATTTCAATATAACGGTTAACAACTTTCGTAACGCTATTAACAATTTCAGTATAGCAGTTAACAACAAGTTTTCTGAGAAATTCAACAAGTTTTGGCAGTCGGAAATAATTTCTTAAAATTTTTTTACAACATCGGCATAACTATTAACAACTTTTGTAACGCTATTAACAACTCCAGTATAGTAGTTAACAACAAGTTTTCTAGAAAATTCAACAAACTCCGACGGCTGGAAATAATTTTTTTGAAAATTTTTACAATTTCAATATAACTGTTAACAACTTTTGTAAAGCTATTAACAATTTCAATATAGCAATTAACAACATGTTTTCTGGAAAATTCAATAAGCTTCGACGGCTGGAAACAATTTTTGTGAAAATTTTTACAACTTTAATATAACGGTAAGCAACTTTTGTGAAAATTTTTACAATTTCAATATAACGGTTAACAACTTTAGTAACGCTATTAACAACTTTAGTATATCAGTTAACAACATATTTTTTGGAAAATTCAACAATTGGTCGTCGGAGCTCCAACGGCGGAATTTTTTTTTTTAATTTTTACAATTTCAGTATAATGGTTAACAACTTTTGTAACTCTATTAACAACTTCAGTATAGCAATTAACAATAGGTTTTTGAGTTTGTTAACGACATTACTGAAATTATAAAATGCTATTTTTTGAATTTTCTGAAAAACCTGTTGTTAATCTTTATGTCAAAGTTTTTAATAGAGTTACAAAAGTTGTTAACCGTTATACTGAAATTGTAAAAATTTTCAAAAAAAATAGTTGTTAAAGTTATAAAAAATGCCCTTTTTTTTTGAATTTGTAAGAAAACCTATTGTTAAATGCTATAACGAAGTTGTTAATAGAGTTACAAAACCTGTTAACGACATTACTGAAGTTATAAAAATGCTAACTTTTAAATTTTTTGGAAAACATGTCATTAACTACTATACTGAGGTTATTAATAACATTACAAAAGTTGTTAACCGTTATATTGAAGTTATAAAAATTTTCAAAAAAAAAAAGTTGCTAAAGTTGTAAAAATGCCATTTTTTTGAATTTTTAAGAAAACCTGTTGTTAAATGCTATACCGAAGTTGTTAATATAGTTACGGAACTTGTTAATGACATTATTGAAGTTGTAAAAACACTACTTTTTAAATTTCTCAAAAAACCTGTTGTTAATAATGTTACAAAAGTTGTTAACTGTTATACTAACGTTATAAAAATTTTCAAAAAAATTTGTTTCTAGCCACCGGAGCTCCGGCGACCAATTGTTGAATTTCTTGAAAAACCTGTTGTTAACTGCTATACTGAAATTATTAATAGCGTCACAAAAGTTGTTAACTGTTATACTGAAGTTGTAAAAGTTTTCAAAAAAATTGTTTCCGGCAGTCGCAACTTGTTGAATTTCCCAAAAAACCTGTTGTTAACTGCTATACTGAAGTTGTTAATAGTGTTACAAAAATTGTTAACCGTTATATTGAAGTTGTAAAAATTTTTCAAAAAAATTGTTTACAGCCACCAGAACTTGTTGAATTTCCCAGAAAACCTGTTGTTAACTGCTATAATGAAGTTATTAATAACTTTACAAAAGTTGTTAACCGTTATACTGAAATTGTAAAAATTTTCAAAAAAATTGTATCCAGCGTTCCGAGCCTGTTAAATTTTCTAGAAAACCTGTTATTAACTGGTATACTGAAGTTGTTAATAGCCTTACAAAAATTGTTAACCGTTATACTAAAGTTATAAAAATTTTCAAAAAAATTGTTTCCAACTATCGAAACTCCAGTGACCAATTGTCGGCAACCAACCGGAGCTCTAACAACCGACCGGCCAGCCAATGAGGGCTTTAGTATTTTAAAAACAATAAATAAAATGAAGGGTAGTTTGGTCTTTTCTTTTAACATGATAATCCTAATTTGGTATCTTGACACCAAATTGGGATTTTTCAAATTCAGCAGACCATTTGGATATTATGAAATTCAAATGTTATTTTTCTTTCTTTCTTTCTTTTTTTTTTTTTTTTTTGTTTTCATCCCCTTTTTAACCTAAGGGATGGGTTTTTCTACTTTCTAGGCTTGTGGCACAGCCATGATGGTAATGGTGGTCCCCGGCATTTTGCTCTTTCAATAACATTCGTTCCACTCAGGCAAACAGACAACACGTTATAAGGGGAACCTTGGCAGTTTCTATATATCGTGATTCATGCGCATCGCTGAATTCTGATGCCGACGAGTCAACACCGGCCGCCTCTAAAATCGTTTCTTTTTTTCCTTTAAAAAAATTAAATGGATTATCTCTTAAATTTAATTTTATTTTAATTTTCATTTCCAAAATTTAAAATCAAGGTTTTTATTCTTTCAAATTGAATTTTATTTTGGTCCATTCAATTTTTTTTAAATCTTTAAATAATATTTTTGTTCCGTAAAATTTTATTCTAAGAATTTTAATTTTTAAGAATTAAAATCAAAATGAAGTGAAATTTTAAAAAAAATTATAGTAATTTGATTTAAATTAACAAATGTACAGTGGTTGCTGGGGTCCTTTTGGCACATCTATAGAGAATAACACCACAATCTTGTGTAAGAATGAGCCGCACAGAGACAATACTGTTTTTTTTTTTTTTTGGGAAAAAAAGGTAACATCTTCTAAAACCAGTGGTCACCGCATACGTATTACATTACATTTAATAATAGTAGCAACTTTTAAGTTTTAAAGCTTAAACTAATTGCGTGTTTGGTTCACTAAATCATGAGAAATGTAATGGAATGTAAAGTAATATAATGAAATATAATATAATAATAATTATATGAGTTTGTTTGGTACTCTATCAAGGAAAAATGATGCGTAAGCATAAAAATGCTTGGTTGAATTACTAAGAATATGGGAATAGGCAGTAATAATATATTAACAAAAATAAAATTATCCCTATTTACGTTTATATATACAAGTGATATGATTATAAAAAGAAGTTGAAAAATAAGCAATAAGCTTTATATTGTTGTGAATATAATAATATTTTTATGGATGTCCATATCTCTTTCATTATCATCAATATTTTTAATTACCTCTATATCTTATAATTATCTTCTATTATTATATAATTTGTAGAGTATGTTAAAGATGTAAAGCAGAATAAGAAATACTCCTGTCTTTTATTCTCCTTTTTTTCCACTCCTTTTTTTTTAGTTTTATAACATATATAAGATTTCAACTTATAAAATATAACTAAAAAAATAAAATACAAGTATCAAGCAAGGTTATAGCGCACATCGCATGCCCACGGTAAAGAAGTAATAAAAATAACGAAAAACAAAAAGCAATTTAACAACTAATAAATCAATCAATATAAGCTGTATGCTTCATAAGGTAAGGCATAAAAAGACTCAGAAAAATTATCTTTTTTTTTTTTTTAAGAAATGAGTTGTTAACTGTGTCATTTAATCCATCTTAGAAACATAAAAATAAACTGTCAATCATATTGAGAACCATTACTAAAAAGGGGACGAGGAGTAAAGAATGGAAGACGACGATGACGTGATCTCCTACTTGAAGGGTGTTTGGATAAGATCAAAATTATGGTTTCAGAAGTGTTTTTACTGTATACGAAATAAATATGTGAAAGAGATTGTCTCGATTTGTAGAAAAGTACTTCTGAAAAGTGATTTTAAGGGCATCCAAACACCCTCTTGGATGAAGAAAAAATAGATTATATTCAAATATGATATAATCCATACTAAAATTAAATATTAGATAAGCACAAAAATAAGGTAAAAAATTACGAAAATTTTCAAAAATTAACTTCTCAAAAATATGAAGATTGACTTCAAAAAAAAAAAAAGAAATATTAATCTCAAGCCAAAATAAGAAATCAAAAAATATTCATATTTTCAATTCAAATCTCAATTTTTATAAAAAAATTTCTAAAATTAATCAATTAATTTAATAATGCGTAAAAAGTTC